ATGTCATAACAGGTCCTACCTGTTACTCATTAAATACCTTTATTTTTAGGCTTTACGGTATTGGCGACGAAAAGACTTGAAGAATACTAAATGATAACCAGTCCAGGGCTGAATACATAAGATACGTATGGTATGGTATGGTATGGTATGTTCGGGCTGGTTTCCGCAACTCGACGACTATGCGCCTATTTTGCGTGTGTGGGAATTTAAATTCTCGTTACTCCTGACATCCCAGCTCCTCCAGGAATTTCAGCAACTTCTTTGTCTTGCCGAAGATTTCCGGGAGTGACCTAGGAGTGCCAAGATGTTGAGCCCGGTACTCCGCTACACCTGGACAATACAAGATCACATGTGCAGCCGTTTCATCTGCCCCCATGCATGCCCTGCAAAGTGGACTGTCAGTTATACCTATATTAAATAGATGTTTATTATATGGTCCGTGGCCGGTTAAGGCCGCGGTTATTTGCCTAAGTTGAGGTCTGTTAAGTTTGATGATACGGTTCGACATTTTGACATCAATGTTTGACATAAGATACGTAAGACATTGATGAGAAATTCAATAAGTACATAAATAATCTGCGCACGTGAAGCCGGAAGTGAACACTAGTATATATAAAGTATCGTTATATTTAGCTTCAACAAAGTATTGTAACGACATTTCTATACAAATATTTACTGTACCCTTTTAATGACTTTTTTATTGATACCATCTACTGCTCGTTAGAGGAAACTTATTATTAATGATTCAGCTCCACCACTTAGTCACGAATAGCCTTTACCTGATTTATCGATGTACCTAGAGCTTAGGGCATTTTCGAGTTTAAGTATATTAATTAATAGCGACTCACCCGTCCGACTAACGTTTGTAGAAAAGATGACAAAAAAAAAATGTGTTAAGAGAAAAACGACATTTTTTTAAATTCAATTAATTGGTTTCTTTTTTGAAAAATTTATGAAAAGAGAAAGAACCATATATGAACCACATTTATGTCTAATATCTAAATTATTTGCTCGTTTGCCTCGTTTCATCTAATAAAATACCTTTTGTAAATGAAGAATTCTGCTTAGTTATTTCTCACTTATTTACCTTGAAATCGATTTATATGCTAAAAAGGTCCTAGGGGTGAGCGAAGTAAGGATACATCGCTAGTATTCAATATATTCTCTAAATTATTTTCCCCTGCCGTAGTAACTTGTATCGTCGTAAAATCTATCTCCGACAACTCCCCAGATACTGTACTTTATGACTGAAAATTCCTTCAGAGACAGAGATCGGCTCGGTAAATTTTTATTATAAACGTTTTCGTTAAAATGAGCTTTAAAGTCTTTGTCACAATAGCTTTCATACATTATAATACTATTTTTCCACTTTTAATAGCTTTTTGTAACTTGATTTTATGGGCTTTTATACATTTTTAATTTTTTTGGACAAATCGTTGATAACAAAACCTTTACATTTTTAAAAATCTTTGACTACACAAGTAATGACCTGCACTTGCTAAACTCATGTCCCAACAAAACACCCTGCGCTACTTTCAACAACTTTTTCCGATATACTAATTTCCCATAGGCACTATTTGGTAACGAAATAGAAAAAGCTTCATATCTCTGATAATGTAAGTTTCACATGAAATATTTTTTAGAATTAGTAGTTCCTGAGATTGAATTCGTTCAAACACTAATTTATCTTCTTAATAGACTTAGAAAAAAGTTACTCAATCAGCTTTGAGGGTATTTTACGCGAATTATTACACAATTGCGCACTGATTAGACTTTGTGAGTTAAAAAGTTTTTATTAATAGTACAGAATATACACAATATTTAGGTCTATCTATTTATCTTATTATAAATTGAAGAAATTTGGTTACCGAAGGATTCCCGCGACCTTTTTGATCGACTAGTATTAGCAGTAGAGTATTTAAATGATAAATTCCTATATTGCCATATCATTTTTAGATTTTTATTCTTTAGCTACTGCACAATAACATCTTGTCTTAGCTCCTTTGAATGATTCAATACTCTACTTTCCACTACCATCCCTGTAATAGTGGTTTTAGCTGAAATATTATTGTTGAAGATGTTGGAAAAGACCATGTCGACTGGGAACTTTATTGAGTTTTGGAGTTATTTGTACCTAGGGACGCACCCAAGCGAAGCGAGTGTAAGTCGCTAGTTAAGTCAACGGTCCTTTATATAGATGGCATCATATTTTTGGGATATAATATACAATGCTTATATATAAACTGAGAGAAGTACCTGTATAGTCGAGGCAGGATTGAACCCGCAATCACCAGGAAAACGGGGGAAGTGGTCAGTTTTGGGACTACTATATCAACACGTAGAAATCTTAATAAGTTGTGAAATTAACTTATTTCTTTTATGAATTCATACTACATTTTTTATGACTCTTAAAAGGATATCCAAAACAAAGTGAATACTATGTTATAAAGAATACTTTAGCGAAATTAAAAACTAAATTCAATGCTATTTAGAAAGAAATTTAAACAAAACAATTCCTCCTTAAGCGATGCAGTCTGAGGGAATTAATTTGAACTAGTCTTTGTTTAGTCAGTGTCTGTAAACACTTTATAAATAACTACTATTACACTTTCTTTTTGTTCCATACTATATTTAGCGGAATAAAACGGAAGTAGGCGAGCAATTTATCTTGGTACAGCAAAAGAGTGATGGGCAACTATTAACTATCTATTTATACCGTATCGATATCCTTTACTGAGCTTTACTGAGACTATAATGGTTACAATTTATTTGGAAACAGCAGTAAAAAAACTTTTGCAATAAAAAAAATACTTTGTCTTTGGTACATCAATGATTATTCATTTTTATTATAATATTTTTGAATGTTTTGAGCTTTTATTATTAAATGTTTTTATGATGTAAAACAGGATTTTTGTCATATTTTTCACTTATTTTTATGGGTTTCCAATATTTGGCCACTGTTACAAGCGTCATGGTCAATAAAGTTTCTGCGGGTGGATATAAAAATTGTTTACTGGCAGATTATACCTACCTATCCTTTTTGCAGTTCATTTTTTACGTCCGTTACTACTATCTTAATAAACTAATATTATATGTTAAAGTGAAAATGACTGTCTCGGTGGCCTAGTGGCTAGTATGTCCGACTGCAGGTTTGACTGGTTGTTTGGCTCTATGGAGGTCTAGATTTCGAGTCCCGAATTGGGCCAAGATCAGTTATTGAGTTTTTCAGTTAATAAATTTTCAGTAACACCTAGAGTTGGTAAATTGGAGATTGCATTTGAATCCATCCAGCTGCTTCTGCTAGCAGGAGTAACAAACACATATACATACTTACACACGCATAATTTCACATTTATAATGGTAGTACTCTCTCGGTCCCTTTACTTAACACTATTTTCCACATGCATGGGTTGACTAGAAGAGATCTCTTTTAGAGATAAGTCCACCTTTGTCACGTAATTTTTTGTATTCTTCTAGTATCTGTTTTTTTATGTGCAATAAAGAATAGTTTGATACATTGCACGGAAATGGATTAGGACATAATTGGATTATTCATATTGTGTATTCGTATTCAGCCCTTTTTAGCGTCCCACTCCTGGGCTCAGACCTCTCTGTAATACGCTACGTAGTTTTTTATACCTGTGTGTCAATCAGAACCAACAATTTTGAGTATTTTCATGAATATCTTAAAAGTTAGACAGTAAAGTGTAGCTGCCTTCAAAATATAAATTTGGGGGGTTAATAAATAGCTTAATCCAATAAAATCCAATCACTATTTCCCAAATTAATCTGGTACATATATAGATAATAGCATGTTTAAACAAATATGTATACAAATAGCTTTTTGATATTAGAGTATAAAAGAGAACCCATCCGAAAACAATCAGAGGCTCGATATTGCATATCTACAAAATTTTGTTCTCATTTCCTTTTTTATTTATCTGATAAGTGAGTAAATTTTGCTTCATTCTATTTTCATTGCAGGGGGAGAGAGCACACAGTGGGGCGGGCAACTCATTATTCCATTCACGCGAATAATGTACTTACTACAGAATATTTCGGGCATAAATTAATTTTTTCGACCGAATCGATTTTTTGTATTTGGTTATTGCGATGATTCCGTTACGTTAGCTTTGCTATTTCTAAGGTATGTTATATACTAGTGACTTACCCTCTTTTCTCTTAGATGCGTTTCTAAGTCCCAAGTGTGCCTTTCGTGTTACTTTAGCTTATAGTCTATCGCTGTTTAAAATTTTATCCAAATCCGTCCAGCCGTTTCGATGTGAAGAAGTAACAAATATACACACAAGCATACACACAAACATACAAACTTTCATATTTATTATAGTAGGCAGATATGTTTTATATTATACATTTTTTGCAATGTACTGTTATCCTATAAATCATTTTACCCTCTTCGGTCCCTTTACTGTCGTTGAACAAAAAAGTTGTATATTGTTATTATTTATGGGTAAAAATGTTATTTAAGATTCGCAGTTTCTTTAGACTAGTTAATTCGTATTTTCTAGTTTTCTATTAGCCGTAGAAAAAACTGAAAAAAAGAAAACTAGAAAATACGTGAATGACACAACACCATATATCATTTTCTTTCATTTGTACTGGAATTACACGGTATTGTACTGCACGTTTTGTATTCAGAGTACATTTTATCAAATAAGTTAACGTTTATACCGAAGCCATCCAGCCCCAAACCGTATATACCGTTCACACGCCTTTATACTAAAAGAAAACGTACACAGCTTTATTAAACGGGCTTTAGCCGGGCTTATAAATTAAATGGAAGGAATTATAATATCTATTCAAGGAGATTACAATATAGAAACTTCTTCTCGTCGTTTTTTTATATGAATTAAGATATATGGTGTGAACATCTCGCTGTTATCACATGATTTTGTGCCCGTCATGTAAATTTACTAGATTTTCTATGGAAATTGTAGACATTGTCTGATAAAACTATGACCAAATCATATCTATTTTACCTGAAAGACCTCTCTTGTTGCTGAGAAGGGCAGTACAGCGACTCCCACCAATAGGTCGGCCACTGCTAGAGACACGATAAACAAGTTGGTGACACTTCGAAGCTTCGATGAGCAGAGTACCGCCGCGATCACCAGACAATTACCTGAAAGGTATAACAATATTAAAAACTTTTAAAAAATAATGTAACTACGAGTATGTGTTTGGAATGAAGTTCCTTATACCATACCATGTGGTATAGTCGGCGTTCTTCGCGAATAAGAGCTAGATAGAAAAAAGTGTATTATTTCGAGCGTCACGACACTTTTTTTTAATTTACTAAAAGTATCCCATGTGACGTCATCACAAGTACCAGGCGATCATAAGTGTTAAGGAATGCATGTTGTAACAAATTAGTGTGCACTCTGTACATGTTTTCCTTGATGTTTATGCAACCCTAGTACCCGAGACAATTTTTTTGAGTAAAGTGAAAGAAATTTCGTTTCTACCGGGTCTCCCGCAACACTGACCGTAATTTTTATATTTGTCTGCTTTTTTCATCACAGTGGAATAAATATGTAGTTATTCGACTACGATGATCAGGAATTTTGTAAGTTTTTTCTGAGTACACGCAAGGTGCTATTACAAATTAAAGTAGTAGTGCATTCGATCCAAGTGCAAAGTGGCATGATATGGCAACATTACACTATAACACAAATTACACTATAACAGTTAATACAATTAATTAACATATAATTTTCTTAGTGAAATTCAATGTTCTTCGTACATATTTTGTTTAATGAAATAGAATCTAAGTAATCGCGTATAAATTAGGGAAAAATATCTTAATAAATGGTATGAACATATTTTTCAGAATTCAACTAGTATTTGCTTTTTAAAATTAAAAAAAAAATGTTTTAAATACCATACAATGTCAATATCAAACCCTTGTTAGCGCATATCCAAAAAACATAACCTTTTTTGTGCGGAAGACTTGTATTTATTAGCACAAACCGAAATATTTTTTTAATAAAGCCCTTAGTTAAAATTGTTATAGCAGCTTGAGCCAAAAAAAACACATAAACTTAATCGCTCTAGTAAAGGTATGTATGATCGACTTAAAAAAAGAATAGCTCATCACATCGATTCTATTTTTTGTACGTGTATGTTGTTTGTTACGCTATTATGTAAAGATTTTCATATAATATATACTCGTATATGCTAGCAGTACCCGTCCAAGCTTCCGATCGCTAACAAAATTCACAGGATCACCCGCTGGGCTAATCTGAAGATTTCATCAAAATCGCTCGAGCCCATTGAAATATACAAAAAATTTTTTATCCAAATCGGTCCAGTCCTTTAGGAGTAGGTTAATAAACATACGTACAGAAGAATTATATACATATATATTAAGATATTTATAGTATACCTAAGGAGAAAACTGGAATTATGTATTAAATAATTGTGAAATCGACATACTTTTTAAGTTAAATGTTATCAATAACAATGAACGGTCTATACAATTAAAAAATATTTGCAAGGAAAATTCTAAACAATCCAATGAAACAGGACCTATTCTGATCGAGTTAAACTAATTTGGTTGTAAATTGTATTCTTTCAAACTCCGATACCAATTTATCGTGAGGGTAGTTGTATAACGAGTCCCCGGGCAGCGGAGTTGGATCTCTCAATCGACCTACTTCCGTTTTCCTATCTATTAAATATATTTTTAATTTCCCATACAAATGTTTTTATAAACGTAACGGGTTCGACGTTCGTAACGTTATTTCAGATCAATCTCGTATATAAATATCTCGTGTTTGTGGTGGCACTCCTCCGAAACGGCTTGATTGATTTTAATATATTTTTTTGTATATTTGGTGAGTATGAGAATAGGTCGTAAAGTATTTTTCACCTTCCTACCCCTTTATTTTTATTTTATATTTTTGTATCAAAATAATATTATATAAATACATATGGCACATTCCCCATACAAACGTTCATCCACATTTTCACCCCTTTACATGAGATAATTTCTGGGATAAAAATTATCCTATGTCCTTCGCAGGATCTCAAATTATCTTCAATTGAACTGAACTGAAACAGCAAATTTCATATAAATCGGTTCAGTACTTCCAAAAATAACTTCCTGCAAACAAACTCACAAATTTACAAACTTTACCTCTATAATATTAGTATGATCAAAACCTAAAGTTTTATGTAAAAAATAGTAGAAGCTCTAATAATATTATTAAACATTAACCTGAATTAAACTTTACTTGTAGCAATTCTAAAGTAAAAACAAACCCGCGGGATTAGACAAAAGGCTATGTTACAATCTTACGAATAGACATTTTAAAAAACTATATCGGCAAATAGAAAGCATGTCAGAGAGTCATAATATGCCTTTCTCATATATTCTTTCAGATTTCTATTCGCATACGAATGTAGAATGCTTTATTTAGCTTCTATTATACCTAGTAAAAAGTTTCATTGAGGAAATTATGAAATTCGTAAGCTGTTTTGTTATTTCATGCTTGGAAACAGGCGGAAATATATGAATGAATAAAAAAAAAATATTTAGTTTTATACTGCTTGCTTGCTTGGAGGATTACAGATGCTTTTATGCAGTGGCAGACAATTATTAACACGCTTTGAAAGCCAAGTGAAGTGAGCTCAAACTCTGGTCTCGCATCTTTAATATTTTATATGCGAAATTCATTTTATAGCCACTACGGTAAAGTGAAGGAAAATATCGTGAGGAAATTCGAATGTATGAGAAAATCTAAGTGGTTTTCAAAAGACGTGTGATGTCCGTCAACCCGCATTTGGCTATTTTGTAGATTTTGCCCTAATGTCCAACGCCTTGAGTTTTGTGCAGCATTGGGTTAGTTAAGAAGCACCTTGTTTCTCATAAATGGTGTTATGTACTATCATAAATGCGATTGGTTTGTTTGTCTGTTATTCACGGCCGGATGGATTTTGATGAAACTAAGTACACCAATAGACTATGACTTGTAGTACTAATAGGTTTTGAGGGCGCAGTTGAGCAAAGCGAGAGAAAGAAGCCAGTTTGTATCCTAGTAATATTATAAATGCGAATGTTTGTGAGGATGTAGGTATGTATGTCTGGATGTATAGATGTATGGATGTTTGTTTCTCTTTCATCCAAAAACTACAGAATGGATTTTAATGAAATTTTACAATAATATAGCTCATACATCAAAATAACACATAGGCTACTTTTTATCCCGGAAAAATTTACGGTTCCCGTAGGATTGATTTGTTTTTATTTTACATAATAGAAGAATATATTTTAAAATATGCTTTTAATATTGTTATGTATATTATATCTTTTCATAAATTCCAAACTCACTAAAATTAGTTTTGTGTTTCGATATTCTTGTGTAGTCTGTGGACAATAATACCTTTTAACGAGTCTCCTGACAACCGAATCGGAATAGCTTCATCTCATCGACCTATTTACGTAACTCGAGTTATTACAGTAAATATTTTTATTTCCTTTGGGACTTCTTAAGAGTTTAGGATGTTCTTTTATATCATTGCGTGATACAGCAATATTATAATGTATTAGATTTGAAGGTTAGGTTAGAAGTTGTAGGAAGTAGTGCCCGATAAGCTTTATATTTTGTAATCACAATCCTACTATAACTGCTTTGGTGGTGTTTTGGCTAGCATGTACCTACGCCTGTAGATACGGAGGTCCTGGACTCGAGTCCCGGATCGGGCCAAGTTTAGTTATTGATACATACGGGATGAAATCTTTAGCTATTTTTTTTCTGTTACGCCAAACAAGTATAACTTCTTACGTGCGTACATAAGTACACACACACGTTTTTTTTATTAAGAGAAAAGCTACGTCATTACTCAATTAATTCAATAATACTTTGATGTACACCAAGAAAAAGATACAGTTTCATAAACACAACAAAGAAAAAAATGTTAAACAGGCGGCCTTATCGCTAAAAGCCGATCTCTTTCAGGCAACCTTGAGGTGGAGGAATAAGTTTTATAAGTACGGTAGGCGGTGTACACGAACACTTTAATAGATACACATAAATAAATATTACATAAAATAAATACAACTAAACAGAAATCCATATATACATACATACATACATACATACATACAAGTATACCTAAATAAATACATAATACTCTATTTACTCACACCCTATATTCCGCAAAATCTATAATAGGCAAATACAAAACAGTTCAGTGCCTTTTCATCCTCTGTTAGGTCAACCGATTTTATTCTTTTTGTGTTATCAATAAAAAAAAAGGAAATACTTCGTTGTTTTAGATTTCAGGTTAATGCTATTTATATAATACTTTCTTAGATTTACGCGAATATTTGACATTTTAATTTTTTTCTTTTCGGATTATTTCGAGGATTTATATTTTTGGTTGCCCAACCAAAAATCCAAAAGCTATTCATATATTTTATCCTCACATTTTCAATAATGTTTGTGGACGAATCGACCACTAGTAGAAAGGAAACAGAGAGGAAGTTGTTAATCCCAAGTTTTTTGTTTGACCATTAGTACTAGAATTCTATATTGGTGAGTACAAGTTTTCTAAACTGTAATTGCTAAAAATCATACACCTCCTCAAACCATCCCTTATACGTGAATATTGTATTAGGTAAAATGGAACTGTGAAAATTTTATAACAAATTTGTATCAAGCATCGGAAGAAATATTTCATTGTGCTGAACGAAATCATGGAGAAGGAATAAAAGTGAATAAAACACTGTTGCCATTTTGGTAGAAATATTTTATGGCTTTTTTTATATTTCGTACATATAAAAAATAATATTCGGGTCAAAGTTCCACGGTGTTGTTCTATGTTTAAAAATCCATACTAATATTATAAATGCTAAAGTAATTCTATCTGTCTGTGTGTTACCTTTTTACGCTTAATTCGCTGAACCGATTTATATATATATGGAGATAGTTTCAGACTCTGGAAAGGAAATAGAATAGTTTTTACCCCGGAAATCATCCATTAAGGAGGTGAAAAGGGGGTGGAAGTTTGTATGGAGAATCAATCATTTCTCAAGTGATATATATTTTTTAATTTATAAAGTATTACCTATTTTCCTATACCTATGTATGGACATATGTCTATTCTGTACTAACCGTT